CAACCATTAGCGCTCATTTTCTGCCCATCACTGGGCTGGAAAATGAGAGCATACAGCAAAGACTTGGAAAGGTTCGCGACGAAGTTGGTCCACGGCACATTCTTAGGGAAACATTTCCAAAAGCGGCCCTTTTGAGAGCTTCTCCTATGCTACGACCCCCCCCCCCCATCTTCACATAGTACCTACCATCCTGCTATACTCCTAACATCCTACCCTTTTTCCCCACTTTTCTGAAAAAAGTTTTTCCCAAGAAAAGTCCAGTGAAAATGTCACATGCCTCCACCCCTCCACCGAACAATCAAAAAATTCTAATAAAATTGAAAGTTCTCACTCACTTCTACTTTAGCCATATTTCGCTGCGGAACAGCAGGTAATTCCCTCTTTTCTTTCACTTCAGGACAAAGATATATCGATGTGGCTTCACTGCAAACGAAAAGAACATTGAAGCTGCTAGAGAAAACACCAAAGAAATATCCTACATGAATATGTCGGAATTGGGGAAACCCTCGGGTAGGACGATTTTGGATTTCCTAAGCTTCTTCTTGATATTGCTGTCACTTGGGCGTATTGGAATCTCTCCTCGAAAATAACTTCTGAAATAAATGCGAATGACAAACTTCCTTAGAACATCACGTGAACCCAAAATGTGCCCTAACGGAAACCCCTGTCTTTTCCAAAATATGACTCACCCAAATCGATCAAGAATTGTAAGTGCATGATCATCATCATTGATGGAGAATTCCGAAATTATTTCTCTAGCAGTAACGACTCCTACTCGATTCACACCTCCTTGAAGATAGTCACAACCAAGCAGAAGGGCCAACGCTACTAGACGGTTTCTCGTTAGACCTGAAGCAAGGTGGCAGTTATGCAACTGCCTTACACCAACGAAAGAAATCCAAATCTGAAACAACGTCACAAACAGCTACTGGTTACGTCTTAACTCACACTGGGTGCTTTCGAATTTGTCCATGGAGAAAAGATTGACAAAACTATCGAGGCTTCTTCCACCATTTTTGAAATCGACCTAGAATGAACGTGACGGTATTTTCCAAATTCCACTATCAGTAAGTATCAAAACTAAAATTATGAAGTTAGGAAAAGTAAAGCACGTTGAAGATGGCTGAACGAAACGTTAGCTAATCTGAGGACAACCTGTACTGTGC